TTTCGGCATTGACACCTGGCAGGTGACACCTAGTGATGCTCCAAGAGCTAATGAGAGCACAGATTGTGTGCGTGTGGAGGGGGGCAGGAGGGGGTCACAATAAATCCAATAATTCAAATCAGCCCTGAAGGCTTCAGGCTGGGTCTGCAGCCCAACCTTGGTGATTTCAGGGAGGGTTGCTCTCAGGCCCAGCCTGCTCCCACTTGCATGTGTCCAGCTTGGAAACAGGGCATCCTAGGGGTGACCCCAAGCCTGCCTTTCAGTCTGTTGGTGAGAGATCAAATGCTTATTAAATGCAAAATGCACAGGCAGCCTTAGGTGCACAGGCTGGAACAAAAGTGTCCTTGCCACCTCACTGGACCACAAAGGCACACTCCCTCTTGGCCTGCTCTCCTTCAGCTCCCTAAATGCTGTCCTTCTTGGCTGCCCAGAGGGACTCCATTTGAAGAGGAGGATTGGAAGTTTTTACTAAGGCCTGCTAGTTATGGTATTTTCTGGGATTTATGGTGTTCAGTTCCCTACGTCTCAGGGCCTAGAATTTGCATCTTCCCCATCTCAGACCCATGCCCTCATCGAGAGGCTCAAAGGAGCACAGGCCCTTCTTCTCCACTCTCATTTATACATTTCTCTCCAAGTAAAATAGAGCTCTTTATAACAGTGACTCTCAGGTTGCTGCAGCACCCTGAGGTGCTGTGAGATCCTTTTAAGTGTCTGCAGGGTGCCACGCAATATTGGCACTGTTCAATGTGCAAGGACCTACGCATGCTTCGTAAGATAAACCCAGAGATTTCATAGAGGGGCAAAAATGTTCTTCCCTGCCATGGTCTTCCCGAGTCCTTTGAAACAGAAGAACTGCCCTTTTATTTTTCCCTTGTCAAAAAGTGAGGGAAAGCTAAGAGCCGGCATTTTGCAGTCTAACAGGGGGAGCAGGCCAAAAAAGTCAGTGAATTAATCACTGCTTTATAACATGGCTATGATCGGGTCACCCACATTCATACAGAATTAGGTGTCATGGGAGATACCGACTGTCAGACGAGACAGCTCCCTGTCTTTGCAGGGTGGACAAGGGCTGGTTTCTGCCTGTGGAGAGACCAGCAAAGTGGTGAATCTCCCTGGACAGGTTTGGATCTCCGCATGAGGTCAGAGGCATCATTTTGTTGATTGTCATGGGAATGAGAGTTGGTTTAATATTTGAGCCCTGGGTTTTAAAGCCAGATGGGATCGCTGTGATGATCTCCAGTGTGACCTGTTATGTCAGGTAGTGATTCCCGGTTCCTATATTCTCGACATGCAGCTCCGTGGTGGGTGACTCCCATCTTCCACAGCTCCGGGGCAGCATCTCATGCTGACTGTCTTGGAGTTGCAGACCTTGGGGCTAATGATAGAGTTGATCTAGTTGGGGCTGGTCCTGCTTTGAGCAGGGGGTTGGACTAGATGTGACCTCCTGAGCTCCCGTCCAACCCTCGTTTTCTATGATTCTGTGATTCACTGAAGTTTGCCATGCAATGCCCTGAAGTTGAGGACGTCCGTGGTCCCAGGGTGAATGGCTCTGGAGCAGCCAGCCAAGGGGACTGCCCTGGAACCAGATCTCCATCCGCCTTTCATCAAGAATCTCAACTCCAAATGGGAAGGAAACCAAGTTTTGCAACATTTTCTGCCAAATGGAGTTGATTGTTTTTGTGTGTACAGCTCTGCTACAGATCCTTAGCTTGTGCCTCTTGTTCCTAGCCATCAGCTGCACTGAATCCTTCTTGAAAGCTGAGGGTTGCGGGGGAACCTTGTTTGCAGGCCAGAAGAGCGGTGCCCCAGTGCAGAAACTTGACTCCCATAAGTATGAATATTGCTGCAGTGTTGTTGTAGTAGCTGCAAAAGGCCTGGGAAATAAAAGCAGTGAGATTGGTGGGGTGAGGGGCTGTCTTTTATTTGACCAAGCTGCATAGCTGGGAGAGAGTGGAGATGAACTGTTGAGTTTCAAATGACCTTCCTCAAGTTGGAGAGAGAAAGAGTCATGGATGATAACTGCTTACTTCCCTGTCAAATGGTCAAAACATGAGCATCATTAGGTTCAGCTAAAGCAATTGTTCTATCTTGTACTTAGCTTGGACTGGATGAAGGCCCCTGGAAACCTGAAGGTTTGTCTCCTCTTTCTGTCTTTCAACAAAACTATTTCTTTTCTCTCTGTGACCCAGGTGCCTTCACTCTAGGAGCAAGGAGGCAGCAAGGAGGAGGCAATTTGGTCAAGTAACATTTTTTTTTATCTCACCTCATCAGTCTTCCTCCTCTAAGGATACTGAGCCCAGCCATGCTCGTCCTTCCAGGAGGTCCATTTTGGCTTCACACGAAGTGAGCTGGCAAGGCAGCTCTATAAGATGCACTTGTGCCCCTGTGGGTAATAAATGGAGGACTTTGGTTTCTATATTGTCTCTTTCAACAGCCCTAAAAATTACAGTCTTTTCTCATGGCACAAATGGCCCAGAAGAGACTCAACAACTCAACAGGCCACTGTCACTGTCACTCCAGGCAGGAAAAGGTAACGTGGAGTTGTGGATGCTCTCCCACGGGTCTACTGGGCCGCCTGCTATTCCCCACACCTGCATGTCCTCTGTATAGCTTTAGTGCACATCAGCTTTAACTCAGGACACAAGCCTCACCGGAGACCAAATTAAGCGGAGCCAACTTCCCAAAGCTGGGAAGACGAGGCCAGCCAAACGCTGCATCTGGGAAAGCGGGGGTGAATCGTCCCTGCTCTCACTCGTCCCCACCAGCCTGGCAGCTTTTTTCCATGTTTTACGGCCCGTCAATGATATAATTGCATCAATCGCTGGATGGAGCAGCCTCGCATTTTTTCTGTATGCCACTGTCTGGAGCTGCAGGAAACGTTGCTAGGCACTAGGGTTGTGTGTTTGTACACACTCTCTACGTGGTTACCGGGATGGCCTTGGGGAAGCTCTGTCCTGGACGCACAGCACTCACCACCACTAGGGGACGCCGCTGAGCTGGTTTTGCATTGCTTGCGTGACACCCTGATCCTTGGCCATGACATTTAATGTCATTGCTATGGTGCATCACCGACAAAACTGGGGAGGTTTGGGTCTTTCCCCCTCCTACCCATTTAAAAATTGGTATGACTCCAACATAACCGAACCTGCTGCTTTCAGGATGGAAGCGACCCAGCCAGAGGATGGAGAGAGGACCTGAGTGTTGGCTTTCGGTGTTGTCTCAAGAGTCAACGAAAATCACAGCTCCCTTTAAAAGCCTATGGAGGTAAGGAGGAGGAGGGAGGATTCATGAAATGAAGGGTTCTGGGCTTTGCAGCGAGCTTTCTGAGCGTGATAGCTATTAAAAAGGAAGTTTTAAACAGCTGGAGACCAGAATGACAGGCCTGGTGCATGCCCTGATCTTGTGTCAGTGGATTTATAGCTGGTTTCTTTCTTGGAATAGAGAAACGGGAACTGCTAGGGCTTCTGACACAGAGAGCTGGGCTGGACACGGGGGCATCTCATCTGTCCTACCTCCGTGCCAATATAAAGCACGTGTTTCTGCTCCGTATGAGACAAACGTGGCAATGCAGCCCCCCGAGCACAGTGCCGAGCACCTGCAAATAAGCATGCCCAAATGAGAGAGAGTCCTAGGGGTAGCTCTAGAGTGCTCGTGGATGCAGCACTGGTCTAGACTAGCTGGGCAGCTTCATTTCTGGGATTTTGTGCCCAACGCATGACTCATGGGGGTGTTTCCAGGCACAGCATGAGGGATGTTTAGGCATACCCTATGATATCACCCACTGTCATTATAAAGATCATTATTTCTAAATTGAAGTGGTGACACTGGGAAATGAAGACTCCTTTATTTTACAGGAGGTTGCAAAATGGGGGTGGGGGCAGAGTTCATCCAGTTTTATTCTAATCATATTTTGTTTCACCATTTGGGTCTGATTCTGAAATTTCCAACCTGGGGTGGATTGCTGACTTGTGGAACTCCTTGCTGCAGGAAGCCACAGAGACAAATACTTGGGTGATGGGTTTGAAAAAGAGCTCAACAGATTTAAGAGATGTGTTTTAGAGTTATCCTCAGGCATCATGATCCAGGGCTTAGGTTGCCTACCTGCAAAAAGGAGGGAGTGATCATGCACACGCTGAGTCCTATAGATGACTGCAGAGCTGATTGGAAGCATTTTGCTGAGTTTTTGATTTTCACTGAAACTTTAAATCATTGTCAGCAATCTCTTAGTTTGAGGATGATCCCTACCAGGGCTCATCGATGTGTTTTGAAGTGACTTAAGAGTCTAATCTTTGAGCCACTGATCCTTCTGCAGACGTTGCAGGTCTTTCTTTAGGAAAGAGTAGGCTATAGGCTGGACGTTTATCTCCTTTACCTTTCTGCACTCTCTTCTCTGCTTCGAGGGCAAGACGCTCTACCTGAAAGCAGAGTGCTGCTTGGTTGCGGCTGCAGTGCCACTAGCATCTGGTAGCAGCCAGCTCTTCCCAGCTCTTTATGGCGGTGTTTATTTTCTTGGGGTATGCCTTCAACGTGTCCTTGCGGCGTTTCCTCCAGCTGATGCGAGATCTCAGGCTGCAATTAAATTGTCAGTAGCTCTTGGCTGCACAGCCAAAAGCTGAAACAGTAGCTGCTGGTGAAGACTTGGGCGGATCTAGGATTTTGAAAACAGCTTAAAACAGCAGTCTGCAGGTCCATAATGTAGACGAAGAGAGCCCAAGAGAAGAAAGGATAGCCTGATTAGTGGAATATCAAGACTGTTGAAAAGGAGAGTGGGTCATTAACAGCTGTTGTTCCCCATGTGGAACTGAATTGCGCATTATAGACTTACCAACTTGTTCAAAGCTACTAGGGCAGGGGTGGGCAAAATGTGGCCCATGGGCCAAATGCAGCCCACTAGGCTATTCTATCTGGCTGGCAGGGCCCCTAAAAAATTTAGAAAATTAATATTTATCTGCCCCCTGGCTGCCTGTCATGTGGCCCTTGATGGCTTGCCAAAACTCGGTGAGCGGCCCTCCGCTCAAAATAATTGCCCGCCCCTGAGCTAGGGTATCTCTGCGTAGTGCTACATGGTGCGGTGTGGATCTCCCATAAGTATTTGGAAACAAAATCCTGAGCTCAATCATCAACCCAAGAGGCGTCTGTATGCACAGTGTCATGATGTGTTGCAAAGTCAGACCTTTTCTCCTTTCTTTGTTTCTTCTTTCGAATGACAAAAGCCGCATCTGTATCTTTATGCACTTGGGCGCTTTTGTCAATTTGGGAGCTCTTGGCTGTCAGAGATGTTACCAGAGTGGAAGTGGCTCTCATTGATCCCCCTTTTTTTGGTTGAACACTCATGATGATCTTGGACCAGACAGCTAGTTTGTTCCAACTCCAACTTGAGTTGGAACAGCAGAAGAAAGGTAAGCAGCTCAGTGTCAGCAGTCATGGAAAGTTGCCTTCAGAGAAAGTTTCTTCCCTACCCTCAGGAAAAGTTTCTTTCTGACCTCCTGGCTTATGACCTGAAAAGCATGTTGATTCATAGCTTTTCCAAAACGATGTTTTTCAACTTACTGATAGTTTTTAAAGGCTGAATATTAACCGGTGTCAGATGCAGTTACAGAGATAAAGAATACGACCGTATTTTCAGAATCGCTTATCACGGATATGGGTTTTCTCCCCTTGAGTTAACATGAGATCTGTCCCCCACTCCTCCTTACCGGGTTTGTTGAGCAGCCACTGAGATCAGAGTTCGTTCTGGATTTAGTCCTAGAAAAGAAGCCAAATATGATAATTAAAATAAAACATCTGGAGGTCTGGCTATCAGAATAGCATCAGATATGCGCTAATTCTAAGGCTATGTTATGTATGAAAGGTAAGAATCTGAAGCATTGTGGGTTTTTTAATAAAAAAAAAAAAAGCTCTTTGAAAGAATGTGGAATGAGAAAAAAATAATGTTGATCGGAGTTGATTGTCTAGGAAATTTACTATGGAAAATTGTGAGGTCCATAATGAATAGTTGGAGAGCTTTAATGGATGTCTGTGCCAATAAAATCTAAACATATATTTAAAAAATAAAGATAACAGAAGCCAATCTAGCTAACCAGAGATGTAAGGAACAATGTGAAGAATAAACACTGTTTTTAGGGGGTGGGGAAAGGGCAAATAAGTTTCTAATTAGTGGGAGGGATTGAGTAGATTATACAGAGATGATAAAAGCAAGGCAACATAATTGGAAACACAGAGTTGCAGTATCAAACGATCCAAAGCACATGATCTAGCACAAATGATTTTTCTTTTCTTTTTTTTCCATGGGCAAGCGGTGAATAAAAAGGTTGATTCTCTTCAGACTCCGAGATAGGAAGCAGACGGGGGGAAGGCGGTGAAGACAAACTGAGTAGCCTTGACTGATCTGCCTGTTGCCCCATTGAGAGATAACGATGCATGTGGCCTTTCACCCCTGTTATGGCTTTCAGGTTTCCCCGCAACCCATGTCCCAGTTCTGCAAGCATTTAGGCACATCTTTAATGTCAAGCATGAGAGGTGCTCTACTGAAGTCAAGAGAACTACTCCTGTGTCTAAAGTGTGTGTAGGATCAGGGACCTCGGTAGATAATAAATGAAGGTTGGTAGTGACTCCTGGCTGTTTGATGACCAATGCAAAATCACCCCGATGGATGTATTTCTAGGGTCCATATTAAAAAAACCCCAAACCCCTCATTATCTTAGTCAGACTGACATATTCTTTCTCAAATCCCACCCTTTAAATTGAGAATGAAGACTAGAACAGGAAATACAACTTATGGTGCCTAAGCTTATTCACCCAATTTCACCATTTTCCCTCTCTGCGGATTATACTTTTCTTGGATTTAATTCACTGGCCCATGACTCTTCTCTTCCTAAATATCTGCAAATGACTCCCAGCCCATGGTTCATTCATGACCAGCTGGTTATAAGTATTTCACAGTCCAAACTGGAGCTGTTTTGATTGGATGCAGTGGTGACATGGTATCATTTCTGAACCCTGACTTGATGGGCATAACTCCTATAATCAGGCTTCTAAATTTGGAACTGGCTTGCTGGAAGCCTTCTGCAATATTGGCCTGATGTTTGGGATTGCTAGGTGAATTCAGCCCTCCACTAATCTCAAACGAGGCCTGCCGAATTCCTGCAGGCACGGTCAGCGTCTCCACACAGAGGTGAATTTAATTCCCTACAAGCATTCCAGCCAGCAAACCCGCTTGCAAGACTATTCATCAGCAGCTGACAGAGTCAATGTGACTTTGTCTCCGACTCCAAATGGACAATTGAGGTCATTTTGATTGATCTATTTATTTATTTGACTCGCTTTGCTCTGCTCTGATTGGGACATGTAAAGGGGGTGTAATGCTGAAGGAAGCTTCAATGCTTCTGTCTCTGTCCTGTGAAAAGAGAGATGTAGTCTATCTAACTGGGTAATGCAGTCTATTCGGTGCTAGTGTTTTGTTTTGTCCTTTACAAACCTTGAATTTTTTATCCAATCTGTGCATCTTTCTGCAAATCCCAAATGCAAATTCTATTATCAGCTGGATGAAAAAAGACACTTAAGAGGGGACATGATAACAGTCAACTACCCGAAGAGCTGCCACGAAGAGGAGGGAAAGCATCTTTTCTCTCTTGCTGCAGAGAGGACATTGTGGACCAATGGCTTGAAGTTGCAACAGAGTAGGATTAGATGGGATATCAGGAAACCTTCTTCCCTGCTAGAGCAGTGAGGCAGTGAATACATGTCTAGGGAAGCTGGGGATTTGCCATCACTGGAGGTGTTCAAGAAGAGGTTGGACATCCACTGGCTATTGGGGTTTTTTGGTTTCTCCGCCGCCCCCCACCAGTGACAAGAGCACACCTTCAGCTCATTTTCAGGTCCTTCTCTGCAATACTGCAGCCTAACCGATCATTCCCCAATTGGTATTTATGCATGCAATTATTCAGTCCTGAGTGCAGGACTTTGCGTTTGTCTTTTGCTGACTTGTATCTGATTGATTTTAGACCATTTCTTCAAGTCATTCTGGATCCCAGCCCTATCTTTCAGAGTGTCTGAAACTCCACCCAAGTTGGTGTCAGCCACAAATTTGCCAAGCATGAACTCAATTTCACCGTCCTGATCATTAATGAAGATATTGAACAATACCGGAGCCAGGGGAACCCACTTGACACCTGCTCCCAACTAGGCATCGAATCACCAATGACTCCTCACTGAGCATGATGAACCCTCTATGGTGTATCTACCTTACAGTCTGTTCATCTAGTCTGCATTTACTTATCTTATTAATGAGAGTTGCATGGGAAACGGTGTCAAAAGCCTTGCTGATGTTAAGGTATATCACATCCACTGATCCTGTCACTTTATGTAGAAGAAAACCAAGTTGGTCAGGCATGACTCTTGCTGTATCCATGCTGGCTGTTCTTCTCTAGATGTTTTGAAATATATTCCTTGAGGACCTGGTTCACGATATTTCCATGTATTGAGTTCAAAACAACTGATCTGTAATTCCCCAGATTCTCACCCAGCCTGATAGTGAAAATCTTCAGTGAAAGCGATCCCATGGTTTCCCTGGTCAGCTTGTTAAATTGTCCTGCTGTTCTTGCCATAAGAACATTTTTTTTCTTGAGATTTAATCTAAATAGTTTTTGCTATAATTTAAACCCATTTCTTCGTGTTCTGCCTTCCGTGGCAAGAAAGAACAGTTGTTTCCCCTCTTCTTCATCACAGCCATTCAAATATTTGAAAAGGCCAGGCATGTTCTGGGCAAATCCAGTCGTAAAATGGAATTTCTGTCCTATGAACATTTCTGATATTTCAGGATTTCTCCGCATGGAAATCCAAATATCAAAACTTTTCGTGGAGAAAAGTTGTATTTTGGGAATGTCCCCATGGAACTGTTGACTTTTTCAGTTAAAATGAAATGTTTTGACATTCTGAGAGCAAATGTTGAACTAAAATAGTTATTTGAACTGAAGCACATTGCTTTGGAATGTCAATTTGAAATAAAACATTTTGAATGAAATTGGTTTTTCCACATGAAATGGGTCGCTTCAAACACCACTTCAGTAAACTGGTTGTTTTGGTTAAGACTGGAATACTCCTCATGATAGATTTTGATTTTGATCCACCCGGCTTTTCCAATAAAAGAGTTTTCTTCCTGAAAATGTTTTACCATTTGCAATTATGGACTTTATGCATGGTATAGTTTTTACCTGTTACCTCTTAACCAGAGTCCATGAACTAGTTGGTCTGGGCTAGCGGAATACCCCCATAATGGCTTGACATCAAATCACAAAACCCATAAAAAAGTAGGGCTAGAAGGGACTTCCAGAGGCGATGTAGTCCAAAATCTTGCCTGAGACAGGATCATCCCTATCCAAACCACGTCTAACTTTGGGAACTGAATTTGAAATCCTGATATGGTCTTCCCCAGTCTATTGGATTTGCCATGACTTTAGGGAGATATCTTGAGAAGGATTTGGTTACAGGTTTCTTTTGGGATATGATGCAAACTATTTGACCTATAACGAGGCGTCTTTCTTTTTTAATCAAGAAAATAACAAATCATCCAGTTTAAAAGCTAGGATGTTGGGTTTGGCCTTGCAACAACCCCTCTGATGGTCCATTAAGCCAATGCAAGAGGCTATAGTGTCTCAGCAATATACCCATGGGATTTTAACTTTTTCTCTTGTCAACAAAGCCAAACTAAAACAAAAGATTTCAATCCTCTGCTGATTCCCCGGCAGTTTTAAGCCTCCAGGCCGGTACCTGCTATTTTGCTAGGTAACTTATCTAGGAACATGCTGTGCTCACAGATTTTTCCTATCAAAGGAGCTCTTGACTTCCGACAGCTACAGCTGTGTTACAAGCAATGTGAGTTAAATCGAGACCAGCAAAGTTTGCAGTAAAATAGGGTCACTTCTTGTTTCATTCAAAAGCAAAACCAAGCATGTTAAATAGACTTTGCAAAAGAGGGTTAAGTTATACAATAATAAACTCAGTTGTGTTGGCATTGGAGGGGCCGGGGGGGGGAGGGGAGGGTTGAAACTGTGCTCATCTAATTTTGTATGACTTGGCAGGAGTTTGGAAAAGCAAAGCAGGGTTCCCAGCAAGTTAGAGTTGCAAGAAAGTCCCTGATTTAGAAAGCTGACTTGGTGCATTCTCTCTCTTTTGCTGGATTTGCAGAAAACCACATGAGGCAGGAGGGATTTATTTTAGTGTTTGCCACGGTACATGGTGACAACATCTGTTCAGAAAGCAAAATTCCAGCCAAATTTCACAGTTTTTGTTTTTTTCATGGTGGTACTTCCTAGAAGACAACAAGTAACTGCCCAGTTGCGGTAGGTTTTTCACAGAGATGGAGTGAAGGACAAACCCCTGGAACTTCTATAGAAGTTTGCACTCATACACCTAGGTAAGAACAGAAGAAGTGCCATACTGGGTCAGATGATTAGTGTATCTGTGTATATCCATGTAAAAAAGTCTTCTTCTTTCATATGATAAATGATCAACAACCTAGGAGGTGATGCCAAACGTTATTGCCCAATGGGGAATCTGTAAACATGTATAAACTTGCAGATTATTTGATATATTGCCAACTCTTGCAATTTTATCCTGAAGGTTGCAGTATCTTTTCCCCTAAATCCTCCAGACCTGGAGGCAGGTCATTGTGTGAGAATCTCAACATGTATACATACATTTTCAAGATTTTCATTCCACTCCTGAGGGCCAGAATTGTGTGTGTGTGTGTGTATGTGTGCACGCACATGCATGTATGCATGTGTGTGCGCGTGCGTACATGTGTGTATTCATGTGCGCATGTGTGTGTGAGTGTGCGTGCATGTAAATATCACGTGCATGCACACACACTCTCGTAATTCTGGTCCTCAAGAGTGGAACAAAAAGTTTGAAAACACAAAACTTAGAGAGTCCAACACTTAGGCTAAGCACAGACAGTCAAAAAGCCCGAGGCTGAATTGATTCTGTCTTTGCAGGTTAGTGACTGCCTACAAATTCATTAGGGGGATGTAGCAAGGGATCGGAGATGCTCTGTTCACCAGGGCGCCTCTTGGGGTAACAAGGAACAATGGTCACAAACTGACAGAGAGCAGATTTAGGTTGGATATCATGGAAAACTTCTCACGGTAAGGGTGGCCAAAATTTGGATTGGGCTTCCAGGGGAGGTGGTGCTGTCCCCTACCTGGGGGGTCTTTAAGAGGAGTTTGGATAGGCATCTGGCTGGGGTCATTTGACTCAGGCACTCTCCTGCCCAGGCAGAGGGTTGAACTCGATGATTTCTTGAGGTCCCTTCTGACCTCAGCATCTATGAAACACTCTATAGGATGGCTTATATAGGGATGATCCTGTCCTGAGCAGGAGGTTGGACTAGATGACCTCCTGAGGGCCCTGCTGTCTGTGATTATGTGTATCTAATGGGATCTCCTTATATGATAAGGGAAGAGGGTCAGGGGATGGATAAGTCTGGACAGACCCCACGTAAATAATACCCTTAATATCTGTTCTGTGCCAGTGTGTGGTTCAGGACACTGGGCTGGCTGGACCTGGGGGCTGGCCCCACTTAAATTATTAAGTTATACTATATCTGAGGGCTAATGGTCTATCTGAGGTTATGCATAAGCTATTCATAATAGCTGAGGGCTAATGGTGTATCTGAGGTTATGCATAAGCATGATGAGACCTCTAGCAAAATCAATGGAGCAATGGTGATTTGTACCAGGTGAGGGTCTAACAAGCTACCTGTGTGTTCCTGCTATTCATAATAGCTAGCTGCTTCGCAGTCTTTAAGCAGACAAGGTTCTTTGTGTAAATATGATACCTTTTATTAGACCAACTTAAACAGTCGGGAAAATTCTTCTTTGCAAGCTTTTGGGTACAAACACCCTTCATCAGGCTGAGGAAGCGTCTGCAGTTGGTCTGTGCTCTTAATGCATTTGTGCATTGTAATGCATGATGCACTCTGAGATTGGGAATGGCTATTACCCCATTTGAATGTGGGGTGGAGAGGAGAGAGTACAGTCCATATCCTTACAGGTATTTGGGCACCTAGCTCCTTTTGAAGTTTGGAGCAAAAGTGGCTGAAGGCATACAGGATATTTCAGGGAGAACAGGCAATTGATCCCAGGTCTCCTGGGTCCAACACTAGTATCTTCACCACTAAATCATCCTTCCACCCTTAATTTAGCTTCTTTTCTCTGTATTTCAAAATCTTCCTTATAGTAATCCTTCATGGTATATGTCAGCCACTGCCTGACTTCTTCCCTCTGGGGTTGTAGGCAATGGAGAAAGCAGAGACCTACTAGTCTCCAGTTCGTCTATCTAGGGCTGCTCTCAAACAAAAGAAAGAAACTTAGAAAGCGACAGAAACTCGCAGCATGTTAATGGGATTTGAGCCTCTTCCCACTTGTACCAGGTTTATACTGGTTCAATTCCTTCGACTAAGTGGAGGTATCCGTGATTTACCCTGCTGTAAATGTGAGGTGAACCAGTGCAAACTTATTGGAGGAGACGGAAAGAAATACGTATTG